AGAACTTCCACGGTTACCGCCGCTCTGGGATTCAGGTACCCGCGAGGAACCTATGCTCAGAATTCACAGTCTACAATGCATCAAAAAAGTGTTCATATATCTCTATTTGGCGCTATCGCAAGATACGAAGGCACTCTGGCAACAACACTTTTGAAATCGCATAGGGCATCGCCTTTTCTATTGAATCAGGACTGAGCCTTATGAAGATTCCAGGGTGTGTGGGCAATTTTAGTTCTCCCCCTGAGATAGCGCCCTCCTTTCCTCTACTTCTTTGATAACTTTGCACGCAGCAAATGAAGGCAACTGAAGAAAAAACTCCAAAAAACCATCGATCCGTTCTTTCGAATACTTTAAAAATTATTTCGAAGTGCCGTGCTAGTTTTGCATAAAAAATAGTACCTAGAACACGCTCGAACTAAGCATAAATCACCGATCCCGAACTCACTTGGTAGATGATTTGGAGCTCGCCAACAGCCGTCTACTAAATAATAGCAGCACTTGTGATTTCAACATCTGAACGATCGAATTTCAATCAACACGCCATAAAATCAACACCCATCAAGCTAATGAAATATTGCACCGAAGTTACGAGGACTTCCTACGATTGCGATTGTGACCGCAATCAATAGATGATTAAGGAGGAGATCCCAGTCGACCGAGAAAATAACAGAGACTTACATGAGAAAATAAAACCCCAAAAAGTCACCAAATCGTCCCCTCAAAGTTTCAAAAAAAAAACCTGCTGGATACCACGTCAAACAATGTGTACCTGTGTGTGCACTGCAGCCGAATTCTCCTACTTGACGAGAGAAGTTGTCTCACTTGCACTTTCAAGAATGCTCCGAAAAGTAATGGGGTTGGAGTTGCTTGCGTCTATTCATGTGGTCCAGGAATTGCATTCACTATCTCCAGAGTTATTGTCGCTGAGTTCAAGTGCACAATTTTTTTATCAAATGCATCTACCAGTGGTTTTAGCCGAGTAAAATTCGATCGTGATGTGTTGTCTCGTCATTACCTGCTTCTTCTTTTTGCTTCTTAGTTTGAAAACTGAAGACTACAAACTGCTTCTGAATCTGTTTTTCTCGACCACGATGAACGGCAGTCCTAGAATTTTTGAACCATTTACTGTCAGTGGCAATGTAAGGGCACGAAATGCGTCATCATTTTTAACAGCAGCATTGAGTGTACGGATCTATGCAAGACGTCTTTCGCTGAAGCTTGAAGCATATTTTGGCGAGGTGTGAAAGGCAAGCCTGGATGGGAATGGTGCTATGTATGATGTGAAATTTTTCATGAGTCAAGGCTTACTCGACTTTGACCTTGCTCTGCTTTTCTGGGTTTCATCTTCTTGCCAAGCTTATCTACCACTTAATTGCAATCAAAATGACGCAATGCGTTGCGTCACTTTTGTGCAATGTATTCCTACTGAAAACCTCCACTTTTTTATCTGGTACCCCAAATAAATGCCGTTTCACTTCTTTTTGATTGCTTATCTGGATTTACTTCTTCCTGGTTCCGCTGTACAGCCACAACCAATGTAGGGGTCTATTCCAGTTAGGGGGGAAGCATCATGATGCAACTCTCTGAAAAAACTGCGTCATGATGCCCCTCTAACCTGGAATAGACCCCAATGTGTCTAAACTCCCATTTCTTCTCGTTTATTGGTTCACTGTTTTGTGAAATATAAAAAACAAGTTTTCGGCTCCCAGACAATACCTAACCATTTGGGCGCGGCCGCGGCGAACGCGGCCGAGTTGATAGGTGCCCGCGAACTCAGCACAGCACAGTTCGCGGGCACCTCGAGTGCGTTTTCAACGGTTCGCGGGCACAATCGACTCGGCCGCGTTCGCCGCGGCCGCGCCCAAATGGTTAGGTATTGTCTGGGAGCCCAATTCTCTTTTTTCCAGGTAAGATGAGTGGACTGGAAACTGTTCCAGACACTATAAATTTTCCCAAGGAGGAAGAAAACACCTTGAAATCTTGGAGTGAAAACGGCGTCTTTGAGAAATCGCTAGCGTAAGTGATGATTTGGAAAAATCACTAAGTTCTGGTAGTTTATACCCTGTCGATAAATATTAAGCAGGAAGAAGATACACCATTCAAAATCGTAGAAAAGCATTTCAAGTATGAGAAACTTTTTTTTAATCACATGTGATCTATTGTAGGCTGGCTAAAGATAGGCCACGTTATACGTTCTTCGATGGCCCTCCATTCGCAACCGGCTTACCTCACTATGGTCATATTTTGGCTGGCACGAATTAAGGTTTTAGTGTTAAAATGATCAATTGTTTCTTAAAAATGGCTTTTCATAATTGCTCGATTGTCATTTTCCTCTCTACCTTAGGATGTAGTGACAAGATGGGCCCATCAAAACGGCTTTTATGTTGAGCGGCGCTTCGGATGGGACACACATGGTCTTCCTGTGGTAAGGCTTTTTTTAGAAAGGTTGCTAAACGGTTCCAATTCCAGGAAATGCAGTAAGTATTGAATAATTTTTTAAAATCCAATTCCAGGAATATGAAGTGGACAAGACGTTAGGTGTGAAAGGTCCTAGTGATATTTATGCTATGGGAATTGACAAATACAATGCGGAATGCAGGAGCATTGTTATGAGATATGCTCATGTGAGTTTACCCTGATCTTTCTTGTTCCTTCCCCTCGCTAGTGTTTTCATTCTTGCCATAACATTACGACTTGATTTCTGTGTTCATGTACTGTTCTTTCTTTTCGTACTGCGTTATGGCGGTCGGCTGTTTATGGGGAAGGATTTTCAGCTCTTAAGACGGCTATTGATTTCATTAAATGGCGGACAACGCATTCGGCATGAAGCAGTTCAGTTACGGGGCACGCACTCGACTATCGTTGACTATCGTAGTGGCATTGGAATGCTGTTCGGTCTATATTACGAATCACGAGGTCTAGCCTCACGCTCGAATCAGCGCTTTTTTTCTAGACAAGCCTTGTACCAATTAAGAGACCTCCAAGGGATATAGGGCTCGAAGAAATGAGCCAGAATCTTAGATCACCCGTCCATGTATAAGTTAAGCGCTTCCAGTTGCAATTACACCAACTTTTTCTTCGATGTGATGTTCTGATAGATGGGATATGTTAAAATTTAGTCGACTTATTTTTCGTGGGCTCCGTGTGAAAAATCGGTGGTGTCCTAGTACTTTTGTGCAGTAATTGTGTCAGTAAATTTCACCTTTCTGCAGTTTATAGAACGCTGTTCAGGGAGAAGCAGCATAAATATCCTGTGAGTGGTATGACTATGGGACCATGTGCCATCTTCGTAAAAGAACATTTCGCGAAGCATCACCCGAAAGACTTAATGGAGGGGAAGAACACAATGAAAGAAGCTGGTGCAGCATGGAAGTCTCTCGACGAAGCTTCGAGAAAGGTGATTTTCACCTCCTAATCAAATTCAAAGACAATCTTTTAGCTAGTTTTTTTTTCAGAAATACGAGGAACTTTCTAAACGTTACCGCGAAGAGAAGATTAAGGAATTTGAGGCTCTTTCAGAGGAAGAGAAGAAAGAGATGATCGCTTCATCACTGGAAGCAAAGGAGGAAAAAGTCAAAAGGAAAACTCGTAAGGAGAGGAGAGAGGTATGTTAACAAAAATGTTGTACCAGTTGTAAAAGCTTCTGTATTTCTTGTTGAGTCTCCTGCATGTTTAATTGTTGTAGAACTGGGAAAAGACTGGGCATCCAGAAAAACCACCAACAGCCTACAACCTCTATGTGCAGGAGAAGTATAACACACTGAAGGCACAAGGAGAAATAATTCACACCAGTTGCTAAGACAATGAAGCGAGTTAGTTCAGAATGGAAGGGAATGAGTGAAGCGGCCAGGGAAGTGAGTTCTTTTTAAATGTCATCATGCAATCACGTTTCAGTTGGTTATACATTTCTTTAAGCCATACGTCAAGAAAGCTGCAAAGCTTCTTGATGAATACAAGGTAAAACTTGAGGAGTGGAAGTCGAAGGTGCAGCCCGACACCACTGAAGAACAGAAGCAATCTTCGGAGCAAAACAAATAGTCTGGTCAGTTCTCAGATTTTTCGGGCTAGAATGTCTTTGTGGACATTAAGGATCTACCTTCTTTTTTCTCAAAAACTATTTTTGTGTGTTTTTGTAGCGATGTAACTCTATTTTTGAGTGTTTTTGTAGAATCGAATTACAAATGCGTACTCTTTTATAAATTCGAAGCCAGAAGGGTCATAGAACGCGCATCTTTGTTGAAACTTTTGAATACTCGCCGTAAGAAGTATGTAGTTGGATCGAGTCAGGTCGAGCGACCAACATTTCCTAGACATTCTGCCAGTGAAGGAGTTCCTGCCTCTTTTAGATTTCCTACACACCGTACGTTAAGGGTAAATCTAAGCTGTTATAAAAGTGTGTGTGGTGATTGACAAAAACTGGTATTTTATGTATGGAGATTTGACAGTAATATCTGTGCTATTCTTGATTATGTCACTAAGCGAGGCTGTGTTGTATTCCATGGCCCGTGACGGGGCGTTTGGCAGTTAACATTTCATACACGTTAATCACTGCCTAGAAAGAAGTTTCCTTATTTGAGGATATGAGTGATTTCATTCCTTGTGTTTTCACCTTTTGACTTTTTTATTCGTGTTTTATTCACCATTATGTATAAAAAGAATATTGGCACCCTCTGCATCCCTCTGCCACTCCACTGTTTCCATGATTCCGCAGACTGACAATCAATATTGACGGCAGGATCGGGTAAATAGATACATCCCTAATCCTGGCTTCTAATTTCGCGTGTTCCTCATGTTTTGCTTATCCTATGAAATCAATTCAGTATGGATAAGGGTTCTGCATTCAACAGTGTTTCCAGCTATGAACCCTAATTCTTCAACGATCGAACTAAAAAAGTTTTTCGAAAGTAAAGGCGACTGAGATACTCAGATTCCGTAGTCGGCATTACAGTGTTCATTTCAGGGAATGAGAATCTCCTGCATCAAGACGTCAGCATTTGACCTGTTCTGCAGCACAACATTACATTATTTTTTTATCATTAATTCAAATTGTACTGCGAAGCTGTTGGGAATGGATTTGTTTAGTAGTACCTGCTTTGCTTATTCTGATACGTCTATTACTTATTGACTATAAAGTGCTGTGTGCAGTACTGTACGGTGCTGAAGATACCCTGCAGCGGTAATGCGTTTGGTCTCAAATGACTTCTCCTATTACATACTTCGGTAGGGGTGAACGGATGTACAAATGTGGCGACAGATTAATGTATAAATCCATGTGCATTTGATATTATTTCTTATCACTTCTCCTAGTTATCGAATCCTCTGATTTCTCACCTCAACATTTCAGTGTTGTTTTAGTTTGGTATGCGCTTTGTATGTTGTGCAATTTCTTAAGTGTTCGTAAAAATGTGAGGAAGTGAATGGAAAACGTTCTGTACCTCAAAGTATCTCATCATGACTCCTACTAACTAACTTTATAAATGCTTTACAGAGTATATGTTACCCGTGTTTCACTTAAATTGTATTCCTAACTTGTTGATAAACCGTATCGGTTGTGTGTTAGTTACAATCCCTTGGAATTCTAACAATAAGATGAAATTTCGATTCGATTATTTCGACAAATACGACTCCCTCCTCACCTCGACCACCCCCACTCCGTACTTATTGGCTGACTGCTTTACTGGCTCTCCAATTTTCACTGCTTCTGTTTTTCACCTATGGTTCTCACAAAATTTACATGATCCTCTCCCTAGGAATCTTCGACTTTAACTCCTTAGATAGATAGAGTATGCAACCGACCTGAGCTTAGTGCCTTTTTTTTTGAGGAAACAATACAGTGACGGCGATTTCGACGTTTCTCATAACCTGACTCTGACTTGTTCAGAAAAAGGATAGTGTTGGTGCATGTAATATTCAAAGTATCCAAACTTGAAGGAGAGCTTGAAGACCGAGACGTTGTTGGCGAGATAAAAATTTTGAACGGACTCGTTTTTAAACAAGTACAAAAAAAGATTATAGAGGGGAGGGTGTAGGGGGAAGGTCAACGGACTACTTGAACTCATAATCAGTCCTTTCCAGTAGTTCATGCCAGCTGGACATAGTAAACGGGTTTTGCGCATGGGAGTGAAGCTCCAGGGTGTGCAAGCCATTTCGCTGTGCGAAAAGGGAACCAAATGTGTGACTGAACATGTATCTAAATAAAATATTTGCCGTGGTTGTCAAGTTTTGAGCGCTTCGCGTCGTGACCACTCCCACCCCCTTCCTAGTAGACTGCCGCGAAGTACTTATAAGCTCAGAAATCGAGGAATGTCTGAACTGTCCGCTCTTTATTTGTCTGTAGCACGTGAAGCATCGCCACTTAGAGTTGGTGGCATGACTCTCAAAGAAGCATCCTCTCGGTGGCTTAGACGTGAAGAGGAGTACATTGCTAAATAATCGAATAATATGGAACATTGGGGTCTATTCCAGCTAGGGGGAGGCATCATGATGCAGTTTCTAGGCGAGCTAGTGTGAACTCGAATATTCCAGCTTTTCACGCATGTCAAGTGACTGCCCTCACCCCCACCCCCCCTAGGCTGGCTACACTCCCCCTGGCTCAGACAGTTACCCTAGCTTTCTGGAAAACGCATAACATGATCCACCCCTTACCTGGAATAACCCGAAACTATGCCTAATGACAAGTCTCCAGGGTCTATTCCAGTTAGGGGGGGGGCATCATGGTGCGGTGACTCCCAAAAAGCTACGGTAACTCTGAGCCAGGGGGAGTGTAGCCAGCCTAGGGGGGGGAGGGTGAGGGCAGTCACTTGACATGCGTGAGAAGCTGGAATGTTCGAGTTTACATTAGCTCGCCGAGAAACTGCATCATGATGCCCCCCCCTAACTGGAATAGACCCCGCTCAATCGTAACGATCACCCAGTTACGAATCGGTACGTAACAGAAGCCTTAGGCCCTGTTCAGAGATGTCCGCTTGCGCGAAAAAACGCATAGGCGAAACAATGTGAAATATGTATCGACTGAACGAAGACGCACAGGCGAATCGTGAAGTGGGAGGATCGACGAAAATGAGTATCATACGCATCGACTTACGAACGCTTCGCTCACGCGATTTTCCGCCTGTGCGTTTCTCACAGTCGATACATATCAAACTCTTGACTGAAATTCGCCTGCTCCGGACGTTTCGCTTACGCGTTTCACAATTTCTCAGTCGATGCGTATCTAAATCTTGGCGGAGATTTTCGCCTGTGCGTTTTTTCGCGCCGGCGGACATCTCTGAACAGGGCCTCACGCACACAAGAAAAAACAATCGCTAGCTGCCTGGACTCTCATGTCCATCGTCGTGTACGTGTTTATTACGCAATTTGCAGAAATTATTTTGTACAGTATGCGAGTGCGAGCATGGTGTTCGTGTATGGAATTTCCTGATTTCCAATGCGACGCAGTCAAACTGGAGCGTGCTTTTTTACATTTTGTGCTTGTACGGCTTCCACATCTGTGTAATTCTCCCTGCGATGCGAGCTTCTTGCCTTGTCTTTATTTTTCGGACTGGTTCTTTGTACTTTCGCTCAAGAGAAGAAGATCGACAAACTTCAAATTGGCATTAAGAAAAGAGCAGAGTCATGCGAGATCAAGTCGAGGTATTTTTTGAATGCTTGAACAGTATAGAGCAGTGTGCAGTTCGGGTGTTATATATCTGAATATATAGTTTTTAATCTTGCATTATTTATAGGAAAAGGGATGTATTGCATATGCACTATACCGGCACACTTCTCGATGGAACTGAGTTCGATTCTAGCCGAACTCGTAACCAAGGAATTCACGTTTACACTGGGAATGGGACAGGTTTGCTGAATGCATTTCTATTGCAATATTGATTCGTAATTCCGCTCAAGTTGGTTATCATTGAAAGGGCGTGACGATCGCTCCAACAAAATGGGTTAATAAGTACTGATGCCAGTCAACCCATACGTTTGTTACATAAAACGGGGTCTACTCAGTTGACTTGAGGAGGGGGTCGACTGCAGTTTAGCTTGAGGTAGGGGTGCGACGCTCTCGGCCGACAGTAGGATTCTCGGTAATATCGGATAATAGCCAGCACGTTACGTTTTCGTAAGATGACTGATACTAGAGCATCTATAAACCACGCTTCCCTCTAAATGAGCTTTCAAATGAATCAGCGAATTAGAAGGGCGCCCGAGGCGTGGCGCGCACCAAGGCAAGGGATGTAGTGCAAGCGCATGCTCGGAGCTTTCTAGCACATCCTAAATTAAACATAAAATTGGTCTTCCAAGAAGTTACGGCGTGAAACCTAAGAAAATGGCTTGAAGAATACCCCTCAAAATAGAAATAACAATGGACATTTTTGAACTTGCTATCTTCAGGACACCTGGGTGCTCGGTTATAAAGCTTGAAACAACCTGTAGTTTATCACCGTGTTCAGCTTCCCAAATGAATGACTTTGAAGGAAGTTATGATCGTTTGAAGGTAAAAAAGTCGCGGTTCCAAAAAAATAGTAACGCAAACCCCCAAAAAAGTAACAACGGGACTAATTTTTGAACTACTGATCTTTCAGGAACGCTTGGGTGCTCGTTAGAAAGCTTGAATCCTGTAGTTTATTATACGTGTTCAGCTTCCCAAATGAATGACTTTGAAGGAAGTTATGATCGTTTGAAGGTCAAAAAGTCGCCTTTGCACAGAAAAAAGTAACAACGTAAAATTTTTACTAAATTAACTTTCGAAGAATTTTTACCCATGGTTGGATAGAAATAATTTGAATTTTCCAAATCAAATCACTTCGGCGCTGAAGCTCGAATATGAAGGAAGTTATAGCCCTAGAAAGAGGAGTGTAAAAATTCTCTTGCAATTTTATTTTGTCTAATAACTTATTCATTCCGAAGTGTTTGAGAACAAATGAGCACTCGTTAGGAAGGAGGAGCCACATCGATCCAAAATCCACCTGAATCTTCCAAACTACCTGAAATGTAAAAAAGAAAAACTCCTCGAATTTCCACACTCCCCGTTCGACGCCTCTTCACCGTGAGCAAATGCGCTCCACCGTCAGGAGGCCAAAGGGACTTACGTAGCAATAAATATTGATGGCACACTGTCTCTACACAAGTGTTAAATACAAAGGGGGTCGTATCAAATCACCCATGAAGGGGGGGGTCGTAAAAAATTTCCAAAGAGTAACAACGATAGGGTTGACCCTGCTGATGGCTACTGAAGTGCCTTCTCGACGTGTTTTTGGAACTACTTTGTGCCTCATCCGGTATGTGGAAGGTGTTGGTGCGTGCATTATTTCCCCTGAAGTAATCCACTTTTTTCCAGGGGAGGAAAGCTCCGGGACTTGGTGCGAAACTTTAAGCGAAATGGTTCACGCATTCCGGGGTACCCTCCCTTGCAAAAATTGGAATTTCTGTAGCCGGCAAAAACTGTAGCACCACATCCCCCCTTACCGGATGAGCGCCGCTAACTAATGTGTGCGTCTTGAGGGTCTTCTGCGTCATAGACATGCGTGCGTAGCCAACGACTTATCAAAATAAGTGCCTTCAAAAAAGTGTTGTTTTTCGTGTTCCTTTTTAAAATAAACTACTTCCTTTGGAGCTAGTGTCTGAGGAGGGGGCATCGCCATGCGGACTGAGTCTAGGGGGAAGGACGAAATTTGGAGAAATTGCTTTTACCCTCCAGGCCCTAGTCCTAGGTTTACTGGTAGGGGGGGGGGGAGTGGTGGGTGTATTGCTCTGTCCTCGTGACGACACCCCTCCCCTTTATGTACGCAGCACGTTTTCTTTCATATCCTCGTCTATTGTGAAATTGCCCTGCATCCGGTCCAAGCGTCGATGATGTTCTGTTCTCTATTACTCGAAAGGCGCGGGTGTACTTAAGGAGGAGGAGGGGATTAATCGTTGTGAAATCTCAACACATCCGCCATTCCTCCCCCTAATGATCGAGTCCTGGGGCTGCTTGGGGTGCGCAAGCGGTTTTTATCTTCTCCGAAGTTCATCCTCTTCGCTTAGGGACAGCCCGTGTGTCAAGATGTTTTATGTCGCGACAATCTCTAGATTCAGGTCTGTGGTAGTGCTGTCGTCGGGGACATGGTTTAGAACCATAAAAAGCAATTTGCGAGATTGTCTCAACCCGGTCTTCGATATGTTTATTTGCCTGTTATTGTTGCTGAGCTTTCTAGAGCATTTATTTCTAGGTGATCAAGGGATGGGATCAAGGGCTTTTGAATATGTGTGTTGGTGAGCGTCGAATTCTTACCATTCCTGCTCATATGGCGTACGGAGAACGTGGTTCGCCTCCAAAAATACCAGGTATCGAGTTTTCTCTTTGTGTTGTCGATTATCTAACTTAGTCTCGAACCGCTACTGTGTTTTCGCATGATTTGAAAAAAAAGAACGGCTTACCATTCGGTGAGTGCTGTACTGCGCTCATAGTATACTTCCTCGCCAGAACACTTATAATGTGGCCAGCCCTGAATTCCAACTGACTTGTCATGGGACAGGGGCGATCGCAAGGTAATATCTCAAATGCAACAAGTTGGTGTCGCACGGGGTTGCGCGCATAACACATTCTCTTTGATTCTACATTTATCCTCTGTTTCGAGACAGTTCTGAGTGTTAAGAAGCGAATCGTACGATATCACCTTTCCTGCTGGAATGCGGCTGAAATAGGGGAGGTCTCTGTGCGGGGCGTAATCGGTGGTTTCGTTTGCTTTCCTTCTCTTTTACAGACCACCTCCCACCTCTAGCTTCATAACTGAACGCTTTTCCACACCTATTTTATCCCGAATCATGCTTTTAAGGGGCCTTGAATGTTGCTAATTCTGGCTTACTCTCTTCTCTCTGCTAACTATGTAGACTTCCTCTTATTTTGCTCACTCCTTCCCTTTGAACTTCCGAGTTCATGAACTAGCAGCGATGTTTCTACATCTCCAATGTTTCCATTTCTTCGTGGCCCTTTCTCCTCTAAAGCTCAGTCAACTCATAATTATGGACGAAAATGGATCACTCAAAGTTGCGCCTTCTTCTTTGCTTAAGTTTTCTTCTAAATATTTCCGTGCGTCAAGATAATCAGTTTGAAAACATCGGCTCCCCCACTTTCTTCACGATTTGGGGCGCGGCCGCGGCGAGCGCGGACGAGTCGATAGTGCCCGCGAACTGTGGTGGTGATGCGTTTTCAAATTTACCCGCACAGTTCGCGGGCACTATCGACGCGCTCGCCGCGGCCGCGCCCCAAATCGTGAAGAAAGTGGGGGAGCCGAAAACATCATCTCAAGCATGGAATTTATTGAAAGAAACCATTTTCGAAATAGCCCGGCTCAGTCAAGGTATGCACCATGCCGCCAGATGAAAAATTGTCGAAAAACTTTACTTAACACATTGAAAACATCGTATGTTGGCATTTTTCGCCGCGTGGAGACAGGAGCGCCGGCATCACCTTATATTGGGTAATTTCAAGTTTTAAATGCACAAAAACTTGAATGTCACAGGACAATTTCAGCAATGATGAAAGCATGGAGCTTACATGGCGATAAAGCAGCAAAAGAGCGTACAATGACAGTGAAAAAGCAAAAATTGTAATATCAACTTTCGCTGGAAAAGACGCAAAAAGTTTTAACTTTGGTTATACCACTAAAGGAATCCTTCCCGGAAAATTACTGATATCTTTCCCAACCAACATGAATATGTCAGTTGTGATCACTAGAGACAACATACAAAGTTTCACGCACGAAGATTCAGTTTCCGAAGAGAAACAAACTACGAAAACCACACTGGACGGTCGGAGGTAGGTCACGCCAAAAGCGACGCATGGAAGGAAGTGCGCCTTGGGTTGGCCAATTAGCGACGCCCTGAAGGAATCCAATAAGAGCGTTCAATTTTGAAGACACAACTGGCAATAGAATAATATGCAGTAGAAGTGTGAGGTGTTAGTGCAATAACTCAAAAGGTCAGAAAGAGTTCCTACTGACAGCACTTCGAGACCAAGTGGAAGCATTCCCGTCGCCAGCATTTGTGACAGATGTACGGCGGGAATTTTAACGCGCGCGCAACAGTCTTCGGATTTCCGAAGTTGTGTACCATAACAATTTTTTGTTCCTTGTGTCTTATCCGTGGAGCGGTGTTCAAGACTACAGACGAGATGGCCAAAAAAGAGACACTTGTCCAGGCGTCATCAACTTTCATCGCACGAGTGCCGCTGTATGAATGTTTACGGTAAGATATCCCTTAATTTCTGCCATAGCGGAGAAGTAGGCTTTCCTGTCAACTGTTCTCAAAAATATGACGTCATTTTTGACTTGTATCACGCGTTAAAGCTCAAAAGCTCTGATTAACCGTTCTAGCTGAGCTGCTACGGAATCTTTATCGCGGTTGACTGTAGCAAAACGCCTCTCAGGGATTAGTTAGCTAAATGACCCTTCCGCACAAGTTTTTTCAACGTCCGTAATAGTCGTGATCTGTCGAGGACCAGTTGGGCTCGAACCGTGTCCAGGGTTCTCGTGGCAAATTCTTGTGGTACCTTGGTGCAGAAAGCTATTATAACGTTTATTGATAGATTGGATGTGCTCTTTAATACTAAGTTGGGAGCAGTCGGTTTGAGTTTAGCAAAGTGTGATTAATGCTGTCTGAAATGTGGAGTGAATTGTCTCTTTTTTGGCCATCCCTACAGTGATTTGTGGGTGAGATGAAGTCATTAGTTTTCTGGGGAGGATTTTTGAAACTCTTTGACAACAATGCGAATTTGCCAGGAGCGTGCTCGTGGGACCACGCCTTTTTTTGGCGCGCCCAACTCTCGCTCAACATTGGGCAAAATTGTCCTTAAAGAAGTTTTCTATCGAATTTTCTGACTGTAGCAATATATCGGATACAACTGCAGTTTTAAGCTTTCATAATGTCTATTGTTGCAAAGTAAAGTGTCAGTTTGGAAACTCGAATTTTAAAAGGGTGGTGGTGAAACACTAAGATTTTATGTGCACAGTAGAATTGTTGGTACGGTGTAAACCCATCTCCTTTTCTGGAGAAAACGCAAAGAAGAAGTTGGATCAGTAAAAGTAGTGTTCAGCCCAATCACGCGAGACCTCATTTTAACATGCCGGAACTAAATACCTCATTTGAAATTTTATGAATTAGACCTCATTGAACATTTCTGTAAAGCATCCCAGATATTGTGAAGGTTACGGTTTTAGGGTTTTTAATTGCTGGAATATTAAAATGTTCAAATGTAGAATGAAGAAATGTCAAGGTGATACTCACCAGTGAGTGCCATTATCACCAAATGTTAAAAACACATATGTTCCCATCCAGAGGGTTTTATTGACTTCTACTGTAATTTTAGGAGTATTTATGACATTGAAGGGCAACTAAGAACTGAACAGGAAGTTTTTTGAGATTTGGAAGCCCTTGCTATCAAAGCAAGGGTTTTTTGAACCTCACTCTGTCCATGCTTATGTTAATGTCTATAGAGGAAATACACAAGAAAACTTTGGGAAAAGGAGTACATTGGCGAATAAATGCATAACAAAGTTCTTGCGCGCATACGGGTTAGAATGCTCCTTGCTGTTTACAGTATCTGACGCCCGCCAGGCTGTCGTCAATTATAAAATTGAAATTGTTCGAGTTGCACGTAGTTGTTTTCCTTTCCTATTTTTGATTGCGCAGAAAGGAGTTTCTCCATCGAATTGGCTATCAAATTTTCGTTAAGTTAAGGAAGGTCTTGCATTTCACAAGAGTTATGTATTACATTTTCAAGAGAAGAAATGCATTCTTAAACACGCAATTACTGCAATCTATAAAGTTTTTTTTACAGCAAACGCTCCCTTGAAATTCGACGTTGAACTGATGAAGATTGATCGTAAAGGAGAGTTGTAAGGTATTCATCTATTAGTGCAAAGTGATCCATTGTGGTAATGTATTGTAATGTAACTTGAAATGTGAAGATCCTATAATTTATGACTTATTTATTGGCTTCCTTCGAAGCAGTGACACGTCACTTTCGCGTTCTTCTGCAGTTGTTTATCCGCTCAGTGAAAATCCTCTTGTGTTTTGTGAGTCGAGAGTTACTGTTGCAATGTTTTGCGATATTAAGTTTTGTTCTTTCTATTGGTTTGTGCATTACTTTTACGGATCGAGATAAATCGATTTATTCTTCTAGTAAGCTATAAATGTGTCACACTCAGTCACAGGGTACAGCCAATCTTATTTCCTTATGCTGCAAGTCAGTGAGCGAATGCTCCTTCCGACATGCAGTGTGTTTTTGTCAAGCCTGAAGAAGACAGTCCGTTTGAAAACATATCACTGCTCTCGGAGTGTTTTGACTTGAGAGTGATGCCTAATGTCACAATTTGTCAGTCCGCTATATCAGTGGTAAATTAGAAGCTGTATTATCTGCGTACGTGTGAAAGGAACACAGATTTGCTGGGCACTTGATGAGAAGAAATGACGGACGATGGAGCACTACTACTGCACAGTGGTGCCACAATGAAGAACGCAACAGCGCTGGCCGTCCCCTGTAGTTGACAGACCTCTCCTGGCATTAATTCGTAGACAAGCACGTAATATATGATAATCCGTAATCCCTTATGTGATCATTCATCGTGGACAACTAAAGCTCAGTCGATCGAACAATGGAAGAGAAGTTGGGACCCCCGCCGAAAGAGGGCCAAATCGCCATGCCGATGGACGGGTCGCCTAAGTATCCTAAGTAAGTAGTATTATCTGCCTACGTGTACACCCAACTAGGGAAAATTACGTGCACATCCGGTCCACGATCTCAAAAATAAGGCCGACAGAAACAGAATGTGCTTTCGCTGTTTGTCTGAGCAAACCATACTGTGAAACCATTCTTTTTCATAAAACGCATCGATAATTACAGAGAGAAACGCAAATATTTACCTTTTACCAACCCTTCCTGCGAAGCCCCACGCAATTCACTCCGGCCATTATCGTGGCTGTCACTTCAACGTCTATTTGGAGCGCTCCATGCTAGTGTTAAGCCAATTGACCAGGTAATTGATTCTGCAGCCTGGGTTGCTATTCAGGTGATCCAAAGGACCTGCTGATTGCCGTATTTTACTCCGAAAAAATCGCATCTATCGCAAGATAAGAATCCATCAAACCAACAACGGATTTTCAAGAAAGATGGATGGGACCCCAGCTGTGAAGGGTGGGAGGGGGGGGAGGGTGAAGGCAGGGTGTATTTGCCGCCAAACATTTTCGACGCGTGGCTCAGGCTGCTTCTATCCCTAGATCCCGGGCAAGGGAGTCCCAAAGAGCCAGAATCCTTCATAGCTCATTGTCCTCATCAACATTTAGCCCACGATCCGAGCAAGTGCTTGAGAGCCAGTGCCACCTACTGCAAAAAAGGAAACCTTGAAAGAGACGATTGAAAGAACACTTCTGAAGCAGTGAGAAAACAGATTGGCCATCTTATCAAAATTGTCTGTTGGCATTCGGTTCCAGAGCGCCCAGCTCATTTCATTGGAAGAACAGCCCAGTAGACTTTTTACAAAATTTTCAGAAACATATTCGCCATGAGGGCGTACATGAACTAGGGGCAAGTGGCGCTACTTATCACGTGCGAGACGTGAGTGAAATCCCGAGTCGTGCGCCGTCCAAGCCGCCCAAGCAGGGGCAACCGCTCGTTGCGCAAAGAACAACGAGGGGGTCGTATTTGGCCGAACGAAAGGGGAGGGGGTCGTATACACAGGGACCCGCGGTGAAATGCATGGAGAAAACAGGATTCCATGTAACAGTACAACGCAACTACAATCGCGATACTATCACCGTCTCCAGGGAGTGGAGGACTTTCAAATGCTAGTGCGACTGCTAACCACAGACAGGTGCACGGCGTACCCCGAGCAGGAGTTTTCACTTCAAACGCTTTATCTGTCAGCGGCCGTGAGCAGACAAACTTTCTCATACGATCTTGATGCTGTCAGAACAAATTTGAGTGGGAAGAAAGTTAATACCTGCTGAATTGACTTCAGAAATTCTGTCAGAAGAAATCTTTTCAGAAAAATTCTGCATATGTTGTGAAGCAGCTCTTCATGTAAACTTCAATACTGTTCTCACCGCTTCTCATTATAAGATTTGGAAGAAAATTATGGACGTTTGACGATTACAAAGTCGCGTTTCAGGGAAATGGCTTGAAAAAATCAAGGGGGGAAAACGAAACAACGACTACTTTTTGAAAGAGTGATTTTTTTGAAAAAGTTTCAACAATGGTTCGAAGGCTCTGATCTTCTAAGTTTTTAATCAGCTTTGAACATCTGCAAAAAGTTGTTGTGAAGGAAGTCATGAACGTTTAAATGTTGAAAACTCGCGCCTCCCAAAAATCGGATCACAAACCCCTGAAAAACGGAACAACGGGACTATTTTTTGATAGAGGGATTTTGAAAAAATTCCAGGTGCTTCTTCGAAGTGCTGATCCACTAGTTCCTGACTAGCTTTTAACATCTGCAAAGTTTAATGAGGAAGTGATGCATGTTGAATGACGAGAACTCGCGTGTGCACAAAAAACGGAACAATGGGAAGAATTTTTTGAATTACAGAACATCGCAACATTTCAAATACTTTTAGGAATAGAAACTATTTGAATTTTCAAAAATTTTGTGTCCGGTTCCATGAGACCGCTTCTGAAGAAAAATATAACCTTCTGAATGGAGGGGTTTGTATTGCAACGTAATTGCTACAAGGTTTAGTTATTCAGATTATAAAAGAAGGAAAATTGAGAGATCGAAAAAAACTTGGTAGGTTTCTGAAAGTAGAAATCTTTGTGATTACTATCATGTATTGGTTTACGCAAAAATTTGGAAATTCCTTCTATTTAATGAATAAAACTTCATTTGCCTCGATTCCCTCCTCTGAGCGAGACAGAGCGCGCGGATTAACCACGGTCCACCACTTCTCCATGTCGGTGACTGCCCATACATAATGATGGGCATTAAACTACGTAAAAGATACAATAGCTAATACGGGAGCGTACCGATACCCTCCGAAAGGGAAGGGGTCGTAAAAATTTTGGAATTTACGCAACGCAGGGTTGACCCTGCGCCAAGCCTTCCATCCTTCCACAATCGTTCATATGGACAAACTTGTCTTGGAGGATGCAAACACTGAAAGAAGCAGCCAGCGTCCGACCTTACAGTCAAAACGTAACACTCACTTTTCATCAATTAAACAGTTTCCTACTACTGCACCTTAGGTTGGGCATAATGACATACAACACTCACCAGAAATCGATTAAAAGCCTTAACCAACAAAACAGTTCAACAATGGGGCACATGCCCTTCATTTTCCTTTGGTGTTGACAGAGTGAGCTGGACAACGCAAACTGTGACATGAAACATCTTTCAAACCGCATGTAAATGAAAAATAAATAAATAAAACCCCAAGCCTAATATTTTAGGGCTGTCCTAATTCTCATCCATTTCCTGTTAAAAATTCAAAATTCTCCGGTCTAAAGATGTTTTCATTCAAAGAGGCACATTTTCGAATGGCATCAGGAAGCCCAACGAGGTGGGTTCAGAAAGCCAGCCCGTAACAGGGTAAGCATGCGTAAAAATAGTCGTGACAATTTTATGGATGTTATGCTTTGGGGCGGAAGTGGTGTAGTGGCAAGTGGCACGCTTACCACGCGAGCGGTCCGGGGATCAAATCCTGGGTCGTGAGTCGCCCGGGCCAACCAAGCCTTCCATCCCTCCGGGGTCGGTTAATTGGTACCAGACTTGTCTGGGAGGATAAAACACTGACTTACATCGGCTGGCCCCCGCAAGTCATTGTATAGGCCACATCGCATTCAAACGCCACTACGAATGTACAAATGGAAGTAGAATGCGTGCCGCATCCCAAAAAGGGATTGATCAACGGCAAATGCTTTCCTTTTATTTATCCCACTTCGACCGGCGGTTGAACAGAATCACGAGGAGTGGTATTTGCAAAAGAGGGGATGCGGTAAACCATGGCGCTGGCGCAGATTTCCAAATTTCGCGAGCCCTCCCTCCGGAGGGATACACGTACGACCGCTCTGTACTAGCTTACTAGCTATGTACACATCATCGATGTTTAGCCTGTCACCGGACATTGGAAGAGTTGGGCACCGGTGCACAAGTCTGGCGTCGCTTGTCACTCACAGGACGGGAGTCGAGGCAACACTAAAGTTTAGAAATAGAAGTAATCCGCAAAATTTTGCGTAAATCTAGGCATAACAGAAGTTGCAGAGAGTTCCGCTTCCGGAAACCTGCCAAGTTTTTTTCGATCTCCCAAACCTTCATTTCTATCAACTGAAATAGCTAAGCCTGAAGCCTACATACAACCTTTTCCATTTAAAAGTCATCTCTCTCCTCAACAAGCGGTCTCCATGAAATGTGGTACAAAAATTCGAGAACTCCAAAATTTTTCTTTCTAAGTTTTTAAACTGTGTGCGGATGATTCCAATCTTCAAAAAATCGTCCCTCGTTGTTCCGTTTTTTGTGCACACGCGAGTTTTTCATCATTCATACATTCATAGCTTCTTCATTAATCAACTTTTTTCAGATCTTGAAGGCTAATTAGAAACTAGAAAACGAGTGCTTCGGAATTCTTTAATTCTTCTAAATGACAACTCGCTCGAAAATCCGTTCCGTTGTTCCGATTTCTTTTTTCAGTATGGCTTTTTTAGGCCGCTCTTTTGGAACACGAGTTTTCAACCTTCAACTGACCGCAAGTTTCTTCAAAATCGGTGCTTTGAGGGAGAACAGTTTCTAAAAATCTAAATGATTCTCCATTACTCGAAAACAATCATTTTAGAGAAATAAGATTGTTTTCGAGTAATGGAGCGTGAAAAGTTTCTTGTTCCCCTCGCCATTGTTATTCCTACTCTTCAATGCTCA